CAGCAGCAGCAGCAGCAGAGGAGGAGTACTACCGTGCCTGCAGCAAGCAGGATAATGCACTGGCATTTTCTAAATGCAGAGTCTACGGGATGTGCGTTTACAATTCATCATATGATCTGGTCGAGCTCTTGTCTCTGGTACTGTCAGGTCAATCGAGAATGCTACCACTGGTGTCACTATTTATGTTCCTAGGTTTGTCACGTGTTGTTACGGGCTCGTGGAGTAGTAGTAGTAGTAGTAGTAGTAGTCGCATTTGCAGTAGCAGTGGCAGCAGCAGAAGCAGCACCCGCCTTAGTCGAAAGTTGGGCTTGCCAGCTCTTTCTCCAGGACGCCTGGCTCGGACCAGCTGGCTTCGGGTAGCATGAGTGCTTCGAGCCATTTGGCGCAGCCGGAGCAAGCAATGCCATCACTGGACTGCCCTGGATCCCATGGTTTGCAACGGACGACAGTCCCTGAGCCAGGCCGTGTTTGCGATGTCTGCGACATTGTTCTGAAGCCGGGATGCGAGGCTTTTGCATGCCAGACCTGTGACTTCGATGTGTGCTCTGCGTGCAAAGAGAACGGCCTTACGAAAGCTGATGTTCAATTGGAGAAGATGAAGAAAAGGATTGATGGCTACACCACCCGACCACGAAGCTATGCTGACGAGGGCAAGCAGGCGGCAGCCCGGGCCCTGTTACCGGCAGCATTCTTAGACGGAGCACGCGCGCGTGGGGGGCCAGTGTTGCTTCTGGAACTGCTGAAATGGTTCAAGTCTGACTTTTTCGAGTGGGTTGACAGCCCTTCTTGCGAACATTGCTCCACAAATGCTTCGCTGAAGCACGAAGGCATGACTGACCCTTGCGAGGAGGAGCTTCGCTACGGCGCGACTCGTGTCGAAGCTTGGCGCTGTGATGGCTGCCAGACGTTAGTGAGATTTCCGCGGTACGATGACCCTGAACGGCTCCTTGAGACTCGCCGAGGCAGGTGCGGTGAGTGGGCGAACTGCTTCACGTTGATAGTGACCGCTTTGGGGTACCAGGCCAGGCTAGTCGTAGACTGGACCGATCATGTTTGGACGGAAGTTTGGTACAATGATATGTGGCACCACTGTGACCCCTGTGAAGCTTGTCTTGATGCACCACTGACATACGAAGTCGGATGGGGAAAGAAGCTGACCTACATAGTCGCCTTCGGGCAGCAGGAGGTCGTTGATGTAACCGCGAGATACACCCGTGACTGGGCATCGGTCCTTACGCGGCGCACCGCGCTGTCGGAAGAGCAACTGGCCAAGATCATCGAAGACGCGGACTCTCGCTTAAGGGGGCCTCTGCCGGCTCCTGCTTGGAGGCAGCAGGAAGAGTCTCAGCTCCAGAAGTGCAAGACGCAGCTGGAGGGCGTTTGCAGTCTTTCGGCAGCCGAACTTTGTGGGCGCAAGTCCGGCTCTGCGGAATGGCGCCAGGAGCGGGGAGAGCTGGGTGCGAGCCTTCCGATCCTCGAAAGCCAGGCCTCCACTCTGATCGACCCGGGATGCGCGGAGGTCGAGGCCATTGGATGGTTCTGGGTCCTGGTCCCAGGGTTCAGGGGCTTGTTTGGGTGTTGAGAGACTCCTTACTGAACGCTCTTCGGTTCGGCCGGACCTAGACACCCGACGATAACCATAAAACCTGAATCCCCGCAGAACAACAACACCCCAGGGCGCGGTGGCAAGAGTACAGCGAATGAGAGCACAAGCTGAACACCCTGAATTCTGAGCCATTCTGAGCCCTTTAAATCCCTAATCACAAGGCTGTTCCCGTCACACGGGCGGCTAGGCTGCTCTCGGGCGCGGCGCTGGGGGATCTTTGTGGTGTGAAGTGCGTGGAGCTGCGATTGCCGATGGCAGAAGTGGAAGTCGCGGCTTCCGACATTGCCCCCGATGCCTTTCTGTCGGAGGAGGGCTTCACGGTAGAGGCCTGGGTTGCTGCTTTGGCGGAGGAGTTACACCCTCTGCCCCACGCCAATCCCCTCATCTCGCGCCACGGCCCGGCATCGGGTTGGGAACTGCGGCTTTGTGCCACGGGAGCCGTGGTCTTTCTTGTGACCATCGATGGAAAGCACTGGGAATTGGAAAGCCCCAGCTGCTGCGAGTGGCGTGGCCAGTGGATCCATGTGGCTGGGACCTTCGACGGAGTGCTTTCCCGTGTCTTCGTTGGCAAGGAGCCCGGCCCGCTTTGAGCCCGAAGCCTGCCCACTCCATCGAGTAGCCATGAGTAGCCCAAAGCCTAAAGATGCAGATAACAGCGCAATCGCAGGAGATGCAAGGGGAGCTGCAAGTCGCTCCTTCCAAAGGTGACCCGACAGCACACTGCCAAGTAGAGGGCATAGAAACATCATTTTGAGAAGCAAGTCTGGAATTTGCATCTATCCCTGTGGCAGTGCAGGCACCCGGGTGGCTTTTGAAGGGCCGCTGTGCCTTGGTAGAAATCCAGCGTGGAAGGACCGGGGCGCCCGATGTTGGCTTCATGCGGCGCGTGCCGCGTCGCTTGCCTATCATTTGCCCGCTTCCCCGACCCAGATGATGTTGCAAGTTGCAATGTTCGTTCCTTCACCAGACTGCGCCGAGGCGATCTTTCGTGGCGGAGAGCGCCTTTCTGCCCGCCCCCAAAGTGCACGGAAGCAGCTTCATTTGACCCCTTCGGGGCAGATGCAGCCCACGCCGCTTTTCCAGTGCATTGTACAGGTCTAGGACGTGTCGGCCGTAGAGCAGAGCGTCGGAGAAAGAAAGCCAGCCCCTCTAGGCACCTTTGAGCGGCGCCTTTGGGCGTTTCGTTTGTCAGGTGGTGGCCGCCGGCTTGGGGAACCGCAAGGTCCGCGCCACGAAGATGAACGCCGACTCGTCGAGGCGAGGCCAAAGATTTCCCCAAACCCTGGAGTAGACTCTAGCAGACTCTAGCATACTCTAGCAATCTCTAGCAGCATTTTCTAGCAGCATTTTCTAGCAGCATTTTCTAGCATTTTTCGAGCTCTAGCTGCGATGCGATGAGGTCCCATTTGATGCTGATCATCAGCATGGACGTGATCGACAAGGAGACCGGCAGGCTGCAGATGCTCTAGGGCCTCTAGGGAGCCTTCGGATCTACGGAGAAGTGACTGAGGCGGCGGTCCGGGAAGATCTCCATCGTGGACCTCGCAGGAGGGGGCTTGTGTGCGGTTCTGGCCGGAGAGTGAGCGCTCAAGCTTTTCGAGGCCAACTCGGCTTCGGGGCCTGAATCTTGTGTTTGTTCCTGTCGACACCTGTAAGTCAGCCAGACTACCTCAAGAAATCACCGAGAAGCTGCAACCCTGAAGGTGAAGTAAGTACCCTGAACAGTCCCTGAATTCCTTGCAGGCTCAGAGCGCCTGAGCAAGAGCGAGGTCACCGGCGAGGCCCAACGTTGAGAACGAGCCTTCAACTCAAAAATGTTCGATCTGAGGGCGGACTTGGACTGTCAGGCCCAAAAGGAAGCCATCGAGATCAACAAGTCTCTGACAGCGCTGGGGGACGCAGGGGCCTTGGGCTCTTTTGACAGCCGAAGCCTCCATGATCTTGGACTATCCTGGACGTGAAGCTCATTTTCGAAGACGCTACCCTGATACTTCGCAGCGAATTTTTCTGCGCCCATGCTGAGGTCATGATGGCTTTCGCCTCCCGGGCCAAGCTGATCCCGTGCTCTCTCCAGATCGGGCATGCGCAAAGGGCCCGTAGCCCGGCCTGGCCCAGGTACCGCAACCACAAGCTGACCCAGTTGATGCAGGACATGGCAACGTTTGTCGGGGCGGGGAGCTCCTCCGCGGGAAGGGGAAGGTGGCTGCGCGCCAGGAAGGGGCCGTGTGGTCGTGTTGTTCCTGCGAGCTTGGTTTCGGTCTGTCTGTACTGGCGAGGACAGCTTGGGGGGCTCGGCGAAGACCTTGATGCAGCCTGGCTGCAGTGGAGTCTGAAAGCCTTCATGGAAGTCTTGGCGAAGCTGTCGGCATTGGCACCCGCTCCTCGAGGTTTGTCAATATTTCGCCGCTGCAGCCTCAGAGTGGCAGTCAGACATGCCTGCACACGCTGTAGCATGCAGCTTGTCTATCAACGTGATTTGGATCACTACATACCCATTACTCACCCCGCCCTGGCGATCTCTGACGACCTCAGGTCATCGTCGAATACGGATGAAACCATCAACTCTCTCAAGTATGCGTCAAGGGCCAGGCTCGATAAAAGAGCGTTCTTTCTGAACTCCCGAGTGCACTCTGCCTCTCACGTGTGCGTTGCAGCTCCGAGGTGCATCGAGAACGAAGTGAAAACGAATATGCCGGGCTTGAAGAGCACCGGGCGTTAGTGTTCAGGCTTGGGCTTGGGGTTTGTCTCGCCTTCCCTTGACCGGCTCTTGCCACGGCCAGATGCTTATGTGTGTGCGAGGCCCTTTGTGCCGACCGACTTTGGAGTTTAGAGCAGATGCAAAGACCATGCTGCTGTTAGTGTACATTGCAACGCGACTCAGAGTCCGCGAACCCTGGAGCTCAATGCTTTTCTTGAGTCCAGGTAGGCCTGTTTCACCAGTGCGTTCAAGAGGGATGCCTGAGGAAGCGGAGCGTTGCAGCCGAAAACCGTGCTGATGAAGCCCCTCCGTGTCTGAGAAGACACAAGTCTATGGCTGTGTCTTTAGATTCACCAGACTGCAACCGCCGCGTGCCTCCTCTCTTGTTGTGGACACATGCGGTTCGGCACGAATACAAGGTAGAACCCAGGCAAGATGAGCAGGAGGATCAACCCATGAACCAGTACTGCTCTAGTCTACTCTCTTGCGGACTGCATCAAACAGCTACGATTCGCTGATCTGCAAATCGGCTGTGAACATAAGCAGGTGTGACCAGAGTTCCTGAGTTCATGGACAGATCAAGAGTGATTTGCAACATCATCCATGAGCCAAAGTTTGACCATGTGGCCAGCATGGACTGCCGAAGCGGCAGCCATTGAAGGACTCGCACGTCAAAGGGGCCATTGTCTTTCGAAACGTAATGGAGTTTCCCTGAACGATTCGGAGGACGTTGGGTGCAGCAGAGCTTTGCCGAGCACAAAGCCCGCTTCGAGAGAGCCTGTGGAAGCTCGGCGCCTTCACGGCCACGGGACGTCCCAAGGCGCTGAACATATCCCTTTTTCTCCTCTCAGAGAGCCCATCCTTTTGCCCTCTCAGAGAGCCAGGTTCCATCGGCCAAGCCTCGGAGCGGCCTCGGCTGTCATCTGGGCCGCGCCAACGCTGCGCAGACGCTCCCGGCGCTGCCCTGGCTCTGTGCTCCGGCGTTCCGCTGAAGGCCCCTGGACAGAAAGACCAAAACGGACAACTGAACATGCAGCCACTGCGCACAGGAGCAGACGTGGATGTCATGCAGAAGATTGACATCCTGGTGGAGCAAGGGAATATTCAAGATGCGGTGCACGAGCTTGAGAAGCTGGGCATTGATCTGTGCCGGTGTGCTGCAAACATCGAATGTAATACACTATCTTTATCATAACGATGAGCAAGAATGAGGATTGACGACGACGACGACGACGGCTTTTGTGCCAATGTTAGGGTGGCAATGCCAGGCGAGGGCAGGCATCGATGTTGCGGAGAAACAAGAAAGTCCTCATGCTGCCGAGGATGCAGCCCGCTTCATGAGCATCATCGTCGAGTCTTGTTTCTCCTCCCGGGGCAATTCCGGTACCCCCCCCGATTTAACCAACCTGCGACAACGAAAGCTATCCTCCGGCTAGAAAGCTGGACACGGCACTGGAAGTTGAATCATTAGCGATTAGCTTGGACACATAGTTTACGGCATTTCATGGCCTGTCTATGCCTCGAGTTCAACATCGTCGTGTCGACCCATCGTCTGGGTGCAGTTTCACACTCTTTGCCGTGCAAACAGATCCGTCGTTATGGGTTCTCCGGTGTTCTGCCCTTCGCTGAAGCCCTACACCTTTGAAGTCGTACTGATGAGCTCTCCGATCCCAAGGACGGTGCTAGGGTCGGACGAAGACGAGAAGCTTCTGGAACACACTCTCCAGTCCTTACTTGATGCTGGCGCGCTGCAAGCAGCTGTTGGGCTTTATCGAAGGTGGGGACATATGCTGCAATCGGATGATGGAACAGTTTGTGGCTTCTCTGGTGTCCGTGACAGATTTTGGTCCTTCTCAGGGTCGTACAGTCGTACAGGCTTTAGCTGCCGCAGTGCGATTCAGGTCTTGGGTTCTAGGTGCCCGACTGACCTAGAGATTTTGGCTTTCGCCAAGCACTTCCCACAGAGCCCAAATAAGTGGAGATAGGTGGACCTCCGTTAAAGGCCCGTGTGTGTAGGAAAGAAGCAGCTCGCACTCCATCTGTAATTGGAGTGAAGCCTCTGAAGCCGCTTCGACTGGTACCTTCTGGCAAAACCGGCTACGCCCATCCTAGTAGTGGCAGCGGAGGGATTCTCGGTTTGGGGCCTTCCTGAGTTTTGCGGGTTTTGCAGAGCCTACTGTGGGTTCGACTCGGGTGTGAAAGTCTGCCTGAAGGTGGTGCTGGGGCGAGAACAGGCCTGCTGAGCTGGCGAAAGTCACTAGTAGTTTTTACTCCACCCAATTGTTTCCCTTTTGGCACCCTTTCCGACAGTACCCTGGGCCTGCCCTGGAAGGATGTTGGTATCAGCCTCTGTGAGAAAGCGGGTGCTGCGCATTCTGGCAGTCAACTCTCAATACCTGCCTGCGGTTGTGCATGTTCATGATCTGCTTGCCAACAAGGAAGTGGATCATGAAGATGCAGTAGCACTGTTTAACATCATTCTCCTGGGCATCCATCAGTCCGGGCATGCACTAACGGCAAATCGTGCAGATCAAGTTCTGAAGAAAATGGAGGAATCGGGTGCCAAGCCCAATTGCGAAACCTTGCGAATACTGGTGGAATGCAAGACGCTGTATGCTGGACCAGGATTTCTAATGGACGTCGGGCAGAGTGTTCTGAATGCTGCACGGCGATTTGTCGGCATTCCGCCGGATGGCGCTGTACTGTTGGCGGTGAGCAACTCGCATCTGCGGGCTGGGGACCTCGAAGCTGCTTACCGATGGTTCGTCGCGAGCCAGTTGGAGGAGCGTCGACGCCACCTGGGCCCCGAAGGCCCCGAAGAGGATTCCGATGCCCTGGAGCTGGTGTCGCAGCTGGCCCGTGGCCTTGCAGTGGGGGGCCAGGCGCTTCGACTCCTCCGTGTCTTAGAGGCCGTGAAGGCGGATAAGGGGAAGCTCCCCAAAGGAGCTGCCTCCGTGTCCCTGGCCGGCTACACCGCAGGTCGCAGCCTTTGTACATGCTGGCTCGAGCCCCCTGCAGATGTCGTGCGACGACGTGGTGTCTGGGCTTCTGGAGACAAAGTGCAGGTGAAGTGTGCCGAGCAGTGGAATTGGCAAAAGCTCGAGGAATCGCGGCACGAAGTGCATCAGTGGCATCCATATCTGTCGCCGGACACCAAAGTTGAACGAGCGTGGCTCGCACCACTGCGGTCTCTGGACGTGAATGGCCTAGGCCTTGTGCGGGACTGGTGTGGGGAAACGCCGGCGCAGGCGACTGCCAGAGAACGGCTCGGCGATCGCGGACCCACTCCACCCATCCTCGACATGAAGTCGGCGCTCTGTGTCGAGCCACCCGGCGCCCGCCCAGACGCCACCCGAAACCGCTTCTCAGTCGCAGAGCGGAGCCATAGCCGGCCTGTGGCTCGGCTGCCGAACCCCAGAACTTGGCGGGTCTTCCACGCCGACGCCGTGAAAAGGGCTTACGGGAACGCAAACCGTCGCCGAGTGCCAAGCCCGTCGCACCTCCGGCGTCCCGGCGGCACATGAATCGGGTTCGTATATGCTCTTAATTAATTAGTTGTCTGGGATCAATGGTCGAAGGTGGGCAGGGACGGCAGCGCTAGTCCTGGTGATGCTAGTGGCTAGGTTACAGCATTCGGTTGCAGGTCACACGCATGAGTATGAAACATGTGCTGCTGTAGTGCCACTGACTGCCTGCATCGCAGCAAGATGTCAGGCTGCAGATCGCTACTGACATTCACAAGTGCAGTCTTAGCGCCCTTCTGTCGTAATGGTACCAATGACTGTTAGGCTCCTGCGAAGTAGATGATGAAGCTTGACAGCACAAGCCAAAGACAAGAGGGAGCTCTGTCCTGAACCAGGCAGCATCTCTTGGCGGAGAAGTCCTCTCAGCTTCTCCTGGGAGCCAAGCCTGTGTGCCTGGCTCCGTGTTGTCTTTCAACGCTGTCTCTTTGAAGTGGCAGCCGCTGGCATCTGAAGCCTTCGCTACGGTCTGGCCAGGTTGCAAACCCCGTGCACATCCCTTACTCCAAGCTGAAGGACAGCTCGGGGTGAACAGCTGAAAAGCTGACGAGGTCAGTCATGTCTGTCCATCTAAGCTCTCAGAGATGTCGCTAGTTTTGATCTAGGGAGACTGCATGTCCGAAATCATGCAACACCTCGTCCCATAGGGTGTAGCCTGCACGGCCCACAACCACGTATGAACGAAGCCACACAGCACTTTCCCTCAACCGTACTATGTTGCAGGGGACGAGAAATACCGCGAAGTTGTAGGAAAGTGGAGTTCTAATTTCGACCAGCAGATCTCCGGGAGAGGAAGCAAGGAACATGTCATGACATGCTATCCAGCTTCTGGTGCCCGAGATGCAAAGGAGATCATCGAGAGTCTTACGAACGAGGAGAAGGAGGCCTTGCTCCACTTCGAGGACTTCATGGTTAGCAACAGGTATGACATGGGGCCCGCGTGAGACGCAAGCTGCTTGCTCGAGATCTAGCATTTGATGGATGCGCGGATTCAGCTCTTGTCTAGAAAGTACGACGGATTTTACCGAATCATCGAGCATAACAGGAGGCGCGGCTTTTCTCCAAGGAGGAGCTTCAAGAAGCCCTCACCAATGCGAAGGCACCTTCTCAAGTTACATCCATCGACCCATCGCTTCCATGGGCAGGTTGATATAGACCTCGCAGGCAGCAGCAAAGAGACTGCGAAGGCCTGGCCGCGCATGCTGGCCCACCGGGTCATGTCGAAGCTTGTCCGGTTGGACCGGTTCGGGCAAGGGTCATTTGTGCGCACGATGCTGTGGCTGTAGAGCTCGGGTCTTCATTTCATACACGGGGCTTCCACGGTATAGAAAGGTCATTGTCAACTGCATGTCCTCCATGCCGTGCTGACCCTGTTGGCATCTTCGCTGGACTGCTCCGGCATGACATTCCCTGGCAGTCCATTGTCGAAGTTGCCGTGGCCATGGCAAAGGGGCAGCCGCGCCCTTGGAATGCTGGACAGCTGTGCACCTTGTGCGCACT